ACAACCCCCGCGACCGACATCGCGTGGGGAGGCTTTTCCCAGTCAACATGCAACGTTGATCTAACGTCAACCAACGTTCGCTCAACGTTTCATTGTTTACTGGGCTTATCTAGCAGTAAATTGTTCAAGGAAAATACTGTGAATTACATCATAATAATTTATAATGATAAATATAAATTTTATAATGGGGGGTGGGGGAGGGAATATTATTTTGTGGAAGGAAAATGCGGGCAGGCATTTAAATGTATGGAAATCCAACGTGTCGTTCCTGTATTCACTCGAGTTCTTTGTAATCTTAAGCATGAAGGAATCCCATTACAGATCGGGTAATCACGCCTGTATATCAGTCAGGGCAAACGTGCTCACGAAACTTCACGACGGCCAGTGGTGCCACGTGAACACGCAAACAATGCCTCACGTCACGGCCGGCAGATTTTCATTTGGCTTTTCTGCAAATACGTGCGTGGCTGCGAAATCGAGCAAATATTGCCAGCTCCTCCGAGTTGTTTACGTCTCGTATCGGCCTCCCTCCTGCATCCATCCCTCCTCCCTCCCTCCCATTCTTCCGGTCGCCCTCGTGCGTCATGTAGGTGACGCGTGGGAGTTGCCGACTGGCCCACTCACTGATGTAACACCACCAACACACAAGCAACTGGCAGCATTGATTGTAATTCACGTCCGCTTCCCCGCACACGGCAGAGCCCTACACCTCTCGCCCTGGTTTCTCGTCATTAATACTCACCGTTGCAGTACTTATGACTGCCCCGGAGGAAGATTCGTATATTTGTGTTGCAGTTTTCTTGCGTATGATGGCAATAACAGCGGTAATGTTCACGAGCTAAATGCCAATGTTGAGGTTGGCAGTCACGACGAGAGAGCTTCAGGACGGAGTTGGCGACGTTTTGCTCTTCCATCTCCTCCGTTGAAGGAACGCAGAATACAGTGGGTTACCCATACGGTCCATATGGTTGATTTTCATGGTCGCAATCGCACTTCTTTGGCTTGTCTTTCATTTTCCACTCTTGATTTATATTATTATTATGTTTACTTACCCCAGGAAAATCTCACTGATGAGTCAGGAGGGTCCTGCCAGGTTTTCGCAGTCGGGGGTGATGGCCGCTGTGTATATTCCGATTGAGTAATTTGCGGTGTAATGTTTAACATTTGGTAGATTTGGATCATGATGAGTCGAGTTGGTGGAAGTACTGCTTCAGTCTGTAGCCACTGGCGTCGGCTTGAGTCTCGACTATCGGATGCTGAGCCCCCCTCCTTAAACTTAGACGCTTCATTTGATATGCAAATTGTCTGCAACAGTTGGAGGGGGATGGACAAAATGAAAAAAATGCACGTCCCAGTCCTTCATATACACAACACACATGTATCGTTACTCACTGTTGAGTGTATAACATTCTTTACTCAGGCAGCATTTTATTTTAGCCAAAGTCTTGTCCACAATAGCAACAACTACCTGTGGAATTTCAGTCAAGTTTTACTTTATGGTTTCTCTTTAGCTATTCTCTTGGTATGGTCGTCGACCGAACCAGTAAAACATTTCGCCCATTTTTATTTGTGTGAAATAATGTAATAAGTATTTCGCCTAGAAAATCCCTTGAGCCAGAACATCTCGCTTTGTGAGTGTCCACTCTTAGTTATTAAATGTTGGTGTGAGGAACGCATAATCTCCCCGCCGACCATTGTTATCAGGTCTGGCCATCAAGTGAACTCACGATGATTCTTATTATTTTAAATATACGTAAATTATGCACTCTAGCCAATTACCATTTTCATTTCGTCATAAAGGTCGTGTGGCTGATGGTATTTGTAAAGCATACTTTAAAATTTTACGCAGAAGGAACAGATTTCTGCAGGTGTAATGACTGCTTATCGATGTTGTTACTTATAGTCGTGTCTACCACGTCACTGGCGGTTAGTCCAGTTCATTGTCGGGCGTCGTGAAATTCGTCCACTGACAGCCATCGTTGGCTAAAAAGAACCACTTTGTTGACAGATATTGTCATCACGAATTTTCGTGCAACAAAATTACCACTGGGAAAGCTTGTGAAGCCCCGAAGACGCACCGCACACGAATTTCTCGGTATTATTTTGCAGCCGTGGTCAGCACTGCGCTGCAAGAGGCAGACAATTGCAGAGCAATGGGCGTGACGTGGCCTAGAATACGAGGGTGAATCATCCGCGCACATTCAGAATGCAGCTTGCTCTGAGTCATCATCGCCCATTGTCTATCCGCTACTGGATGACGCCATCCCCATGTTGTCGTCCATCCCGTGTGGTTTCCGCGCTGCTTTTCCATCCATCTCACTCCTACCCGTAAATGAACTGATTTCAGTGCTCCATCTCCACGGCTGTCGGTCCCATGGATGCATTTTCTTTGGCTTTATAGTGCTGCAAACCGGTGGTGGTGGTGGTGCTTATCACATTGGGAACCCTCAGCAGAATTTATAATACGGGGGTCTCCCCTGTCAATTTACACAATCATCCTGAGATTGTGGAAGAGATATAAATCAGAGATATAGATGCAGTGAAATAAGATAATGTAGACAAAAATATAAATGTAGTTAGATGAGATGTGCAGACAAGAATGAGTTGTGATTCATGTTAATTATGTTATATTTATTAGGATTTTAAGTTGAGCTAATTTTTCATGCACCCACATTTTTTTGCGATGAATCCGGGATCCCTTGAGTTAATTGGGGCCCTAAGATGTTGTTTGGTTTGCTTACTTATGCATAGCATAGCCACTGGATAAGTCACAGCCATTTACCACAGCCCACCAGTTACTCAAACATTCACGAGAGTTGTCGTGGAGAATATAATACATATAAATATAATATAAGTAACAAAATAAACCAGCAGACAACACACGCCTCCTTCCCAGAGTTGTCCGTCCACATTAAAAACACATAAATGTTTTAGATCCGATCAGCAACACGGCCCTTTCGGGATTGAATAATTTCAGCAGCATGGGTTCAACACAAGCAAACTACTGGACCGCACATTCTGTGTCATTGTCAGGCTCGCTTGAACCAATATTGGCGAACTGCCAGATGTTTAGAGGTCAAGTTACTCGGGGTCATTATGCAATGGCACTTCTCCACCACAACCACTGGGAGCTGAGGGCAATTGCCGATTTCCCAGCATAAGGCCACACTGCCGGATGTAAAAGAGCCCACTCTGACCACTGCCCGGATGCCTTGAAACGTTAGGGAAGTCCCCTTCAGTTACTTAAAGCGGCGAAGAAAAAAACATTATGAAAGATTTGTTTTTATGCAAACTGTAACATGACCTTAGGGTTGAAACCCCAGGACAATTTTTTTCTGATGGGGAAAAAAGCAGTAAAGTTTTTTTGCAAGTTTGGTTCATAATTTCAGTGGTGGGTTTTTTATCTGCTGCAACAGGGAACACCCAAACCGTAAAACCCCAGTTTTCTTACCTACCGAAATATATATACAGTATCACTATATACAATATTTACATAAGGGGATGTGTATTTTGGGCTAGAGAATCGTGGTCTATGGAGCGATATCAAATCAACAACTTACAGCGACGTTAAGGTTTTATGTTTTGAACTTTTTTCGCAACATACGTAACCAACCGTGCTAATTGGAGGTGCGGGAGGACAACACACAACACAAAACGCAGTTCTAAAGAAATTCGTTTTTAAATCTAGTAGATGATTTGAGGGTGCATTGCTCCAATGGCTTCCTAATATCTGAAGAACGTTCCAGATGGCCGCGGGAGGGCATCTGAGCTTTAGAAGATGCAGAGTGAATTTCAGAAACGTTTACTCCGGGATGAGTAAGATTGGGGAGTTGTTGGGGTGTTTTCCAATCGTTTGAAGTTGACACACCAGATTCGAGTATGCCCTTAGCAGCGTCCACGCGATGTTTTCTTACGGCTCTTGACCCATCTACTGCGAAGCCGGGAGGCTGCAGGGTCAGCTGCGAGGCCAGGGAATTGAGAGTTTGGGTCGGGGTCGGAAACAACGGCCAGGCTGTTTCATTGCGCCACAGACCACGGTCAGGAAAGACATTGGCAGGAGGGGAGGGGGGGTGTGTGTAAAGGACGACGCACGCCATCGCGGCTGCTCGCCACGGCCGCCTGCGACGAGCAGCATCGCCCCGAGGCGCCTCGTGGCCCGGGGCCCTCGCTCGCTCCCAGGCCTCCCGCTCGCCCGGGCGCGTGACGTCACGCCCCGTGCGTCGCCTAGCAACGCGCGGGGCGACGTTCCGGGTTGACACGCGCCTCCCCCCCCCACACCCCCCGCGAGCCCCGCCCCTGCTCGCACCCCCGCCCCCGCGCGTGCTGTTTTTAGGCCATGACGCGCGCGTGCGCTCGAGCGGTGGTGGTCGGTGGGGGGGCTGAGACGTGAGGGGAGGGGGCCGACGGGCAAATTTGTGAGGGGTGTGGAGTGGGGGAGGGGAGTATGGGCGGGGCGTAAAAAAAGGGGGTGGAGTCAGTAACGTGGGGCCAGGGGGGGGGTTGTCCGCGCGCTCGAGTTCCACTGTTACGGGAGGGGGGCGGAGGGCTCGGAGTGGGTGGGGGCTGGGTGGGGGGGCAGGGCTTGGGCGCGTGACGCACGCACGCGCCCGCGGGTGCCGCTGTTGTCGTCGTGTTGGCTGTGGAGGCAGCTGGGAAGGTTGGGGAGGGGGGGAGGGGGCAAGTGGGGGCGGGTCTGATCGCGTGACGCACGCGCGCGGGGAGGGGGTTGCAGAGCGGCTATTGGTTAGAGCGAGAGAGGGGGTGGGGTAGTTGGGAGATGGGGGGGAGGGAAGAAGGGGGGGGGAGGTGGCGGAGCTGGGGGGGGTGAATAGCGGCGGGAGTGAGTGGGGGGGGATGCGTGTGACGCCGGCGAGTACGCGCGGAGCCTGGGGGGGGGGGGGCTTTTATAATAACGCGAGAGTGGGTGGGGGAGGGGTGGGGTAGGGGGGTAGGGGGGTAGGGTGGGGGATGGGAGGCGGTAGTGGTGGGGGGGGGTGACATCGTGCGCGCGTGGGCGGCGCGAGCTGAGCGCGGTCACCGCGGTGCCGAGCGAGCGCCCTGACGTCCCGGCCGGCGGGCGGCGCAACACTTTTTATTTTAGTGCGCCCCGGCGACTCGCTCCTTGCTGCCATCTCTATCGTCGCCGTCACTCTTCTTGTTGTTCTTCTTCTCTACCCTCACCCTCCTCGTTACTCCCTGCACCGCGGACCGACGGGACGAAGCCACCGACCTCCGGAGGAGTGCGAGACGCGGGCGGACGGAGATCTTCTTCTCCCCCCCCCTCGACCCCGGCGCCGCGACCATGAAGAACGGTGGCGAGCGAGGTGCGTGCGCGTTGCGGGTGAAGTTGCGTCGTGGCTTGTGGGGAGTGATGAGCGCGCCTAAGGGGGGTGGGGGGCACTTTTGGCGGTGGGCTACTTTAAGGAGGGTCTGCAAGGAGGATGGGGGCAGGGGGGGGGTCGCTTTAGGAGGCGACTCGAGGGGGGGGGGGGGGGTGCTGTGTAACCAGCGTCTGCGGCGAGTCCCGTCTGTCGGCCCCGTCTAAGTGGTGGCCATCCCCTCGGCGCGTCCAACCCCCCCCACCCCGTCCGGTGCCCATCAACTCGCACCACCGCGTCGTGCGCGGGGAGGCATTTGACGAGTTTGGTGCCAGAGGGCCGAGGGCTTTCCTCTCTCGCGCGCCGTCGCCGACTCCGCCGTAGACGCCGATCCTCGCTCCCAAGTCGCCCCCCACCACCACCACCACCACTGCCCCCCCCCACCACCACCACTGCCCCCCCACCACCACCACACTCGCCGCCCCCCCCTCTAATCCCCCGCGCCCCCCCCCTCGCTAATGTCTGTGTGACGTCACGGTTCCTGTTTTCGCCGCGACGCGGATTTCCTGGCCGAGCTTTCCCGCCCCTCCCCCCCCTCGTCCTCCTCCTACCCCCCCCCCTCATCCTCCTACCCCCCCCCTCATCCTCCTACCCCCCGTGCCCTCATCCTCCTACCCCCCGTGACCTCATCCTCCTACCCCCCCCCCCCCCCACGGCCACGCGTCTCGCGTGAGCGACGCCGCAAGCCCATGTGTGTCTGGCCAATGTGTGTGTGTGTGTGTCGGCCAATGTGTGTGTGTCGTGTGTGTGTGCCGTGTGTCTGTGTGTCGTGTGTCCCGTGTGTGTGTCTCCCGTGTGTGTGTGTCTGGCCAATGTGTATGTGTCTGGCCAATGTGTGTGTGTGTGGCCAATGTGTGTGTGTCTGGACAATGTGTGTATGTGGCCAATGTGTGTGTGTGTCTGGCCAATGTGTGTGTGTCGTGTGTGTGACTAGCCAATGTGTGTGTGTGTGTCCCGTGTGTGTGTGTCTGGCCAATGTGTGTGTGTGTGTCTGGCCAATGTGTGTGTGTGTCCCGTGTGTGTGTGTCTGCCAATGTGTGTGTGTGTGTCTGGACAATGTGTGTGTGTCTGAACAATGTGTGTGTGTCCCGTGTGGGTGTGTGTCTGGCCAATGTGTGTGTGTGTGTGTGGACAATGTGTGTGTGTGTGTCCCGTGTGTATGTGTCTGGCCAATGTGTGTGTGTGTGTGTCTGGCCAATGTGTGTGTGTGTGTCTGGACAATGTGTGTGTGTGTCCCGTGTGTGTGTGTCTGGCCAATGTGTGTGTGTTCCGTGTGTGTGTGTCTGGCCAATGTGTGTGTGTGTGTCCCGTGTGTGTGTGTCTGGCCAATGTGTGTGTGTGTGCCTGGACAATGTGTGTGTGTGTGTCCCGTGTGTGTGTCTGGCCAATGTGTGTGTGTGTCTGGCCAATGTGTGTGTGTGTGTGTGTCTGGACAATGTGTGTGTGTGTCTGGACAATGTGTGTGTGTCTGGACAATGTGTGTGTCCCGTGTGTGTGTGTCTGGCCAATGTGTGTGTGTGTGTCCCGTGTGTGTGTGTCCCGTGTGTGTGTGTGTGTCTGCCCTGTGTGTGTTTATTATGTCCTGCTGTGTGTGCGCCTGTCTCCCATGTGTGTGTGTGTTTGTCTGGTCTGTATGTTTGTCTACCCTGTGTTTGTATGTGCTGTGTGTATATCTGCCCTATGGGTGTGTACCCTCTGTGTGTCTGCCCTGTGTATATTTCTTTGTATATCTGCCTTGTGTATGTATGTCTGCCCTGTGTGTATGTATATATGTCTCCATATATACGAGTGTTTAGGTCCGTTGTGTGTGTCTAGCTCATGTGTGTGTAGTTCATGTTTGTATGTGTCATGCCTGTCTCCTGCTTATTCGGTGTGCGTGCATGTGCCACATGCGTCTATCTAGCTCACGCGTGTCTCTCTGCCGCGTGTGTGTGTGTACTTTCTGTCTGTGTCTGGTGCATGTGTGTGTGTCTGTCTTGATCATGTCTCTTCCTTGTGTGCAGCTTATCCCAAGTAAATCTGTCTGTTCCATTTGTCTCGTCTATCCCATGTGTATGATGTATATCTCGTGTTTGTCAATCCTGATTCCTGTGTTTACTCTGTGCATCCTGTCCGACTAGCCCGTGTGTGGCTACCCTGTCCAGCTCTTATTTATCGTCTATCCATTGTCCTTATAATCTCACGTGGGTTTTTAGTCGATCGTGTGTCCGTCTAGCCAATGTGAGCGAGTCATGTACAAGCCATGTATGTAATGTCTGTGCTGTGAGTACTGTATCCCATGATATCTCGTGCGTGTGTACCCCATTATTTTATCTCTTGCGTGTATCTGTTTCTATATCGCGTGTGTGCCCCTATCTTGTGTGTGTACTCATTTCGAGTGTGTGCGAGACCCTATCTCATGTGTGCGTGCGTGTGTATTTCTCGTGTGTGGCGTGTGTGTATCTTGGGTGTATGTGTGTGTGTGTATCTGGTGCGTGTGTGTGTGTTTATCTCTGGTGTGTGGCGTGTGTGTATTTCTCGTGTGTGGCGTGTGTGTATCTTGGGTGTATGTGTGTGTGTCTCTGGTGTATGTGCGTTTGTGTGTGTATCTCTGGTGTGTGTATCTCTGGTGTGTGGGGTGCGTGTGTATCTCTGGTGTGTGGCGTGTGTGTGTATCTCTGGTGTGTGGCGTGTGTGTGTATCTCTGGTGTGTGGGGTGTGTGTGTATCTCTGGTGTGTGGCGTGTGTGTGTATCTCTGGTGTGTGGGGTGTGTGTGTATCTCTGGTGTGTGGGGTGTGTGTGTATCTCTGGTGTGTGTATCTCTGGTGTGTGGGGTGTGTGTGTATCGCTGGTGTGTGTATCTCTGGTGTGTGGGGTGTGTGTGTATCTCTCGTGTGTGGGGTGTGTGTGTATCTCTGGTGTGTGGCGTGTGTGTGTATCTCTGGTGTGTGTATCTCTGGTGTGTGGCGTGTGTGTGTCTCTGGTGTGTGTATCTCTGGTGTGTGGCGTGTGTGTGTATCTCTGGTGTGTGTATCTTTGGTGTGTGTATCTCTGGTGAGTGGCGTGTGTGTGTATCTTTGATGTGTGTATCTCTGGTGTGTGGGGTGTGTGTGTGTATCTCTGGTGTGTGGCGTGTGTATCTCTGGTGTGTGGCGTGTGTGTGTGTATCTCTGGTGTGTGTATCTCTGGTGTGTGTATCTCTGGTGTGTGGGGTGTGTGTGTATCTCTGGTGTGTGTGTGTATCTCGTGTGTGGCGTGTGTGTGTATCTCTCGTGTATGTGCGTGTGTGCTCCTGGGCCACAGGAATGCTTGCAAGTGTTGCAGAACTCTTTAAACACAACATTCCAGTTCGTGTTGGATGGGCAACCTTTCGTGGGTGCTCGGGATTTTAGGTTTACTGCAATGTGGCCCCCTAAGGTCATGTGGCTTTGATTAGCGTCCACACGACAGCTTGTTACGTTTACCTACAGAAGGGACCAATGATTACGCTGTAGCTACCACACCGAGTAGTACACTTTTGACTCTACACTAAGGTCGACACTCGTCTTTGTTCTCGTTACTATCGTAATTATCAGAGCCCCCCCCTCCCATTCCTCTGGAGACAAATCGCTTGCAGCACTGCAAAGGTTTCCAACTCCTGAACGTGGAAAGTTGTCAAAGTGAATCTCAAAAAGACACCAGATACGGGGACGACCTTACTAATTCGTTGCAGGATAATTAACCTGGTACAGTGTTGAACAAAGTTAACCAATGCACAATCCCGAATGCAAATACCTCGCGAACCCTTCTAAATCTGCATCACGCCCTCGTTGCAGAACGTCGCTCGGCTGTTGTCGCTTTGACAAGACTTTGTCGCTGGGGATGACCGAAAAAGCCCCCAAATCTCGCGCAACAATCATTCCCTTTTTGAGTTCGTAACGCAGTGCAGGGCCCTGCGACCTTTAACGCCGCACCACGCGGAGGCCCCGCTTCCTTGAAGGGGCGTGCCTTCACTTCTCGGCCATCGCACACAAACACACATACACCTCTCTCGAAAACAATGCGTGGGCCTTGCACTCGCCTCCACACGCCACGGAGATCCTTTAGTCAACCGGTCCCACACACTTATAGATCCATCATCATCGTCGTCAGCAGCAGTCATTACCACATCCACTGCTGGATGAAGGCCTCTTACACTCTGTCGCCATCCCTCATGCGGTCAGACTGACCTCTTAACGCCATCGCCCGTGGTGGTTGACCTCATCCCGTCACGTTTTATATCTGGGTGTAATTCCAAGTATGTCTGTCCCTCTGCATGATTCTTGTGCGCTCTTGAGCTTTAGTTTCATCTTTAGTCGGTGTCCCGTGTGTTTGATTCGTTTGTATGGATGTTGAACTTCCTTCTCGCCGTACGTAGCCAAGCGTGCTAATCGGAGGTGTCAGAACTCGCGTTCTCGACTGATTGAAAACTCTGCTAAAACACTGGCCGACTTAGTTCTAGAGCCGAGACCAGATTTTTCACTTGTCCCACCTTATATTGAATCACTTGAGTTGCTCCAATGTATTTAGAGCTTTGTTACATTCGGTGGCACTGCACTAATTGTTTCGCTAGCCCATGGACTAACTGGGCAGTTGTTCCAACTGGACCCTGGCATCGTGCCTGTAGAGTGGATTACTCGACTGCGAACGTCTCTGCGAGAGAGCTTCACAGTGGCATACTGCTTTGAGTAAACTTCTTACAGGCGAAAGGTAAAAAAAAAACGTTTTTTTTAATTAGTTGTGTTATTTGTAATCTTGAACATATGTTACAAATTGGGTCGCGAATTATCATGTCTATCGGAGAATGTAAACAGACTGAAACAACACTCGCTTAACACACCATACGTTCATCCCTCATTTGCATGATGCTGTGTAAGTCTGTGGTGAATGGTTTGAGTGGCTTCTACCCGGACAATTACATGACCGGTACAGGTTAATGCAAGTTTAATCGTGCCGTTACTGTGCTTAGTCACTGCTTACAGTATCGTATCACGTTTCTTTAGGTACAGTAAGGTAAGTACAGTTACTCTACGTATAGTAGTGGCATGGTTAATGTATCACGCATCGGAAAGCCACCTAAGTGGCAGCCACACATGGCTGGAAAAACACACTGCACTTCGGCATATTCTGTGGTGCTGGTTGTGTTGTACGCAGTTGGTACCATCGGCACGGACAATCACTACAAGTGACACTGCCGCCACAAACACGCACACACGCGTTGCACGTGTGACACACGCAATCATCATCATCATCACACGCGAACACACTGCTCATCTCACGAAGTTGACGGCCATAACTGTGCACCGCGCCCTACAACCACCATCACCACCGAGCACACTAAAGCCCCCTTCCCCCACTCCGTCCTGACAACTCGCAAAAACTCGTAAAAGCACGACCTCCCAAAACGCACACCATCCCCACCCCACCCTGCCCTGCTGACGCTGCAACTCACAGGCGATATTCATCAAGCCGCGCTGACCAGCGTGGAGAAGTATGGACAAACAACTACCCCTGCCCCCCCCCCATTACCAGCACAGTGTGGTGAGGCCCTCATCCAGCAGCTGCTTGACAAAGGGGGCTGTGTATTGTAATTATTTTTTATTTACCGTCTGCCGCCTCCCTTAGCGCCGAATGGTAAAACCTAACCGTATTCACGACCCCCAAACTTGACAGCCATGAGTGCCAGGAACACGTGGCGAGCGAGGAGGAGGAGGGCACGGCGCCTTGGCTCTGCGTGGAAGTGACATTGCGCAGCGGGGTGGACCCCACGACCTTAACTCTAACCTCTACCCAGAAGCCGAGAATTAAAGCGCGATTAAAGGCATTAGGCGATCATAACTCGGCGCGTCGTGGCACGAGCGGTCTCGTGGGTGGTGTTGGTGAATGCGAGGAAGGAACCCCGTGATGCTGTCTGGCTGGCTGGCCGCTTGTAGAAGCCATTGTGAAATGACAAGCTGTGATAGTCGTGTTACACAGGGACCTATCAGCTGACTATCTTTACTGATTGGCTGGGCCCCGGCTTAAAGAACCCGCATCACCGTGCTATCATTGGCGAGCGTGACACTCGACGTGTGTTTGACACAACACACGGCGACATTGTCAGAGGAATGTGCTAATTATCAATTGGTTACCAACACGGTTTCATTTTTCAATATTTCCGGGTCGCTGGTAGACTGAAGTAGGTGACATGTGATGATGAGTAGTAGCCACAGCCATAGCCCGAGGTGGACTGGATGTGGTCTGCTGGGTGCGAACATGTTTTCTGCGTTGCTTTCCAGGACAGACCTGGATTAAATTAACTCCTGGTCGCCTATACTATCACGCGACAGAACTAGTGGCATACAGCAAGTGGTATTGATTTATATTTATATACATGTGCTGTGTGTAGGTTAAGTGTTTGAATACCAGAGTCGTGCTGACTATGGCCTGATTGTCATAGATGTCTGAATGTCATTCAGGCACACACAGACATCATTACTATGTGGCCATGTGTACATTAGCTGGGTTATTAACTTATTACCTAGCATTTAAGAACAAGCAATGCAAATATAGTATGTTCCATGGTTTTCCGTCCTGATGTTTGCAAGTCATTATTGTACAGTCATGAATCCCAACTGGTGCCACACACTATGCGTGTGCTGGTTAACTACAGTTATACAATATGGCTTAATTACAATTATACAATGGCAGGGGGGTTAATTATACAATGACAAGGCAGGCGCAAAGGTCCAAGGTTGGTTTGGTAAAAGTCAGTCCATTTCTCAGTGCCACGGGGTGATTGCACGGAAGAGCATTTGGAGGGAGTTCACTCAGTCCAAGGTTCGTTTAAAAGTCCTGGCATGGTGTCTCTGCTGTTCTCCTGAACCCATGTGCAGCCATCTGTCATACACGTACGTACACGCACGGCCTGTTTTTGTCAATCCACCACTGGATGAGGGCCTTGCAGGCCACTTGGGATATTCGACCGTACTTTCCCACTCTGGTTGGTACGGGTAAATCCGCAATGCCAATGATTACACCGGTCTTTTGCGCGTGGTGATCGTCCATCCAAGCACTGTCCCAGACTCGCCCGTTTCCGAGTTTTGAGGAATGCGGGGCGATTTGGTGTACAGTACAGTACTAGAATTGCGTACAGTACAGTTCTGTAAACGTGGCATAAATGGCCACCCACAGTCGGTAAGGCTGGAGCAGTGGTTGCGTTGGTTTCACGCGCTGCGCTATGAACCCGGCGACCTGAGTTCGATGCCTGGCCCCCGGCTATTGCCCAGTGGCGAGTCCCGTCCTTGCCCCACCCACTGCCTTGGCCAAAGCTCACCGACAAGACGTGAAGTATGAGCCAACAACTAACAACCCCCGTGACCGCGATGGTGTGGGGAAGCCTTCATCTAGCAGTGGATCGATACAGGGCTGTACATTACAGCATCATAATCAGTAAAAACCCATTTCAAATGTTAACATTTGAAAGAGGAAGAAAATAACTCGACCTTTCTGACAGGGTAAAATGCAGACAGGCGTTCAGTGTAACGAGAACCCGTCGATGTTTACGCCGAGTTCATTGTAAACTTGAACATGAAAACATCCCGTTACAGATTGTGTAATCAAATATGACGCCTATCGGAGAGCGCAAACAGGCCGAAACAAACACGAAACTCACAAACTTGACGACAGTAATTTGAAAGTGTGATCATCCCTGACGTGCACAACTGTCGGATTAGTTAAAGACTACTACGTGGCTTCCGCTAAATTCAATACATAGCTGTTCCTGAACTTCGTGACATACTGCTTAGCACAATGCAGAACAATACTTTCATTTCAGTAATGTTACCGTACTTAGTTACATAATGTTTATAGTAACGTTGGACATCCCTGTATATTTGTTCATCAGTGGTACAGCCCGACTTCCTTTGAGCTGGTGATTCATCCTAATGTACCTTCTAATTAGTGGTACAGCCCAGTGTACTGGAAATCTGGTAAGCCATCTTTTTAATGTGTAAGACCCACCTGGCCAATGACATTGTACATATTCACTGCCATCTAGTGGGCCTCAAGTGACACCGTGCAAAGCAGCAATTGCAGTCTCGCGCTGGGAATGATAAACATCATCAGCCACGATCAAGCCACTGCCGGATGAATGCGTGGCCAGGCCTAAAAATGCAAATAACCTTGTAAAAATGTTGTGCACCATGCACTGAATAGTTTGTCTGTGGGGATGCATGATGTAACTAGGCCCTACAACTGCCAGAATCGGAAACCATTTGTTAAGAGCGTTGGAATTGTTAATGTGAGCGGTGGTGGACTAGTTAGCACGCTGCTATGGACACTGCTACCTGAGTTGAATTCTCGGCCAAGGCTGATGAACTATGGTCAAACAACCCCCCACAACTGGGTCGGCAGTTGGGGGGGGGGGACTTAATCCAGTAGTAATTGACAAAGGCTGTAAAGTAAAATGAGTAGTAGTTGTTCATGGGCGTGTTGGCAATAACGCCACGGGGTGGGTAGATAGTGGGAGGGGGGTGGAGATGAACGTGTGATGTGTAATGTCATTGCTCTGGCCAATAAGGCTTATCCGTTTTAGCGGTGGTAATTCTGTTGCCAGGATTTGGGTAACCTCTTTTAATCAATTTGGCTGGTTTCCTATAGGGCAAGTTCCTATTAGCAACACAACTCGATACTAGCATTTCATTTATGTTGAAAAAAGCTCGAGTGATGAATCGATAACACTGCCTGGAAGTTTAAATTCTTATAAAAGGAAAAAATATAATAACGGAGACATTTTGGGTAGTGGCCGTTCTTCATAGACAGGCTATAAGAAAATATTAAACTTGTGGAGTTGACTATTACCTAAGACCTGAACCATTGGCAGGAGCTGCGAGTGCACTGCAATAAGTTGGACCGAGTGTTAAGTGTAATTATTTACAAGTAAATCCAATGTACGGTTTGGAGAAAAACTGTGAGTCTCAAGGGTAATCCTTGAGACTTAACACTACGATGATCCCTCGAGGACAAATACAGGTCGGAAATCATTACAGAAGTCATGCTCATGCGTCATTTTCCTTCCCTGATTTTTTTCTTCCTGAGTACCGAGTGTAGCTGCCACAGCAACGAAACATTCAGTCGCCTTGCATATTTACACTGTCTTTGAGTGGTGATAGGCTTTTGACCAGTGTCTGGTGGTCGGCAGAGCGTTTAATAAACCCACGATGCCAAGAGTGGAATGTTGGCCAAGCCTAACAATGCCGCCCCCCCCCCCACCTCTTACCCCCCAACATGTGTTTAGACTCGCCGGGGCTGGAGCGCGTGGACCTGAGTCCTGGTTGTCGGCAAGTGCAGCTGTGGCACTTCATCCTGGAGCTGCTGGGCAAGCGCGAGTTCCGGCACGTCATCGCGTGGCAGGGCGACTGCGGCGAGTTTATCATCAAGAACCCCGAGGAGGTGGCACGGCTTTGGGGAGCGCGCAAGTGCAAGCCGCACATGAACTACGACAAGCTGAGCCGTGCGCTGCGGTACGCTCGCGTCCGTGAAGGAGAGAGAGGAGGGGGGGGGGGCATGCACAGACACGCTGTGTACGCGCCGGATAAAGAGTCGTTTCACGAGAGCCGCACCGATACGTTGAGAACAATTTTTGTTTGTGGTCGATTACTTGGGGCCCCCTTTAAAAGTGTCAGCCAGCCCCCCACATTCCAACCGCCTCCTGAAGGTGAGAAACACCAACAAGTCCCCCCCCCACCCAGTGTGCCGTGGCCATGAGGTCACCAATCCCTCGGCTATCACCTCCTGTTCAGTGGCACACATGGCAACAATGGTGGAACTTTTTTTCTTCCCCAAGCTATTTTCACATTATCCGATGAAGTCAAACAATCTAACGGATAATCAGTGGGGAATTGTTTCCTTTAAGAATCGTTTTAACTTGTGTCAGCCTATTGCGGGATGAGGGCATCCCCATGCAGTGCGCGTCGTGGGGGGGGATAAATGTACCTTACGACTCTAGTCATTGCCGGCTGTTTGACCGTACCTTACAACGCTGGTCGGTGCGGGTCTTGGGGGTTGATTGACCAGACATTACCACACTGGTCGGTGCCCGTTGGCGAAGGCAGCGGGAACAAACGTTGGAGCATAAAAGTATCGTGCATTCTGCTGCTGTCACCACCCAACCCCGCTACCGTGATGACTATCTGTGTTTGTACTTGGCGGTCACCTGTTTGAGTGCTATGCTGGCTATAGGCCTGCTGCTTAGCGTCTGAGATTGATGAGATTGGGTGCATTCCTGATATTTAGACCAACACGGTTCACAAATTATTTCAATGTGAACTTGCTCGTATATTAAATTCACGGAATCATATTTTTTAAGCAAAATCATTCAGCCGCGAATGGGAGGTTCCAATTCGGTAGAGGAGAGTGATTGTCGATCGTTACCGCCGATCTAACAGTTGCGTAAAACGCGCCCACAGGTATTACTACAACAAAAGGATTCTGTACAAGACCAAGGGCAAGCGCTACACCTACAAGTTCAACGTCAACAAGCTGGTGCTCTCAAACTACGGCGGGGTGGATCCGCGGAACAAGGGTGAGTGAGCGAGCGAAAGCAACTCCTGCGACATGCCTTCCGGTTGAGGCGGCGCGGTTTGTTCGGAAAATCTTGCAACGACGTTTGGCTCCGCATCACCGGGAACTTAGTTGGGAAGCGTTGTCTTAATTTGTCCGTATGTCAGTTTCTAACATGGGGGTCCCGATAACTTTTATGAAGGTGACCCCAGTTTGACCACTCCGACTGATATTCCACGGGACAGATCCGATCGTCGGGGTGTCCTACATGATGACTCGGCTGTCCGTTCCCCCCCAGCGCGTGCGGTCTCGGGACTTGTGGAGTCGCAGCTCGGGTAGAGTTACTCCAGTGCACCGCTTGGCGGATTCTCTTGTCTTCCTCTCTCTTTCTTTCAGCCGCTCCCTGCTGACGTACTCTTTTCGTGAGGTTGCTGCTCCTCCTCATGAAACGGCCAAACCATTGCAGTCTCCTCTTTTTGATGGTATTAAGGAAGGGGGCCTTGTTTTCCAGCTGTAGAGGTAATCGTTTCCAGATGTAGAGTTGATCGTTTGCTCAACACATTCATTTGATTTATTTTCCAGATCCAATATAAATGACATAGCATAATCATTCACGACTAAGAAATACAAACTAGCTTTTTTGCCCGTCCAAGGACGGGTGCATATTGCAGTAAATCTGAAATATTCAATAAGAAAATTGTTCAACTCATGATTATTAATGAGGGGGGGGGGGGGGGTTGCCCCACGTGGAGTGACGTCACCCGCTAATGATTATTAATGCGGGGAGGAGTGCAGCATGTGGAGTGCGCGACCTTGTGCGTAAGTGTAAATTTTCACGCGGGCATGAATATTAATGAAGGGGGTGGGGGGGGGGGGCTCTTTTGGAGTGACGTCACGCACGGATGTAGCACTGTGCTGTGTAGATTTATTTTTTACCATCACTCTCTGTAAAGAAACGTCGTATTTTAAGCGACTTGGCGTGATAAATTATTTAATTGAGCTCGACCTTCCTCTGCGTTAGTGTAAAAATCCACCCACTCATGAATATTAATGAGGGGGGGGTGGGCCTCATGTGGAGTGATGTCACACGGGGGGGGGGGTGGGCCTTGTGGAGTGACGTCACGCACGGCACGGACAGACATTTCTGGGTGGTGATAGGTAATACGAAGCGGGACAATACACCTTCCAAATATCTGTGCCTCTACATTAAAGAACAAGAGCATTGTTGACACATCTCACCAGCCGCACAGCCTTCTGAGGAGTGCATAATTACAGCAGCGTAAATGAATTCAGTTCCAAAGAATCTGCCAGCAGTACGCAGAGCGAAACGTTGGACGTCGTGCCGCACGACGCTCTGTACGCGGTACGACCCGAAAGCACAAAGGGGAGGGCCATACAGCTCGACCGCTAAAACCTACGCGGTAGATTTCCTGGAAAAACAGACAATAAAGCGTGCGGGACACGCCGTTCTGCTGAGTGGCGGTACGTGACATTGTTCCAAGCGGCCCGTGGGCTTGAGCGCGATGCTCCCTGCACGCTCTGCGAGGGTCCAATTATTATAAGTGCCTGCGTGAGCCTCGGCCCAAGGAGTCGGGAGACTAAACTATTGTGCGGAATATAAATGCTTCTCCACAGCTTCAGCACCAAAAGTCACAATTTATAGAAGCGTGTACATTGTACGAGACAATTATGAATGTGGGCCCTAATTATTCGTGAAAAAGTAATTTTAAAGCTTTCAAACTAAGGTTGAAAGTTTTTGTGTATTGGCTCTCTCCTGTCTGTCTGTAACATGGGATAATTAATTGCCCTCGAGAAAACTGGCCCTAATGATCACATAATTGCCATTGATCGATATAGGTTACCCTATGGCGATAATACAAAAAAAATTGCGGGAAATGTACAAGTGCCTCTCCTCCCCATGACGCTTTTGTCTGTGACGTCATCTCTCATAGTGTGGCTTGGAAGGTAACATTGCATTTGCGTGATTTTTCTTAATTGTTTATGACGTCAATAAGGCCCTGCAAAAAGCAAAGCATAAATTCACGACTTAAATGTCAGTCCACCGCTGGATGAAGGCCTCCTGACGCTATTCTGGTGATGGCAGTAATTTGGCCATACTTGACCACGCTGGTTAACGTGAGCTGGTGAAGGCAGGGCACAAATAATTGAGCGCATAGCAGTGCAGTACAACAGTTGGTTTTGCTGCATCACCTTCTGTCCACTGCCTTGCAAGCCCTGCGGCAACAGCAGCCCGTTTGACCGCGACGGTCGCCCATCCATCCAAGGACGATCCAGCTCAAACCCCTGCTTCGCTTCGGAGGTCTGACGGGATGGAGCATGCTGTGAGCGATGTGGTGGTCGTAGGCGCAGCGTAAATAACAGCGGTGCACTTGTGTCCGTTTTTATCTTTTATTGTTATTATTCACCCCTGTTGTTGTGCACCGTGCCTGTCGAGAGGGCATTGCCTTGAACTGCCATTCCTGTCATTGTCCGGAGGTTAGTGAACGCCGTTCCACTCTGATGAGAGAACTGATACAGGCAGGCGGTGTAGGTAGGGAGAGGGTTTTCTGCGATTTGGCGACGCTGAGAATACCGTACGATGTCAGGTCCGTGGTAGTCGTATCATCCATTTTGAGAACATATATTGTTATGTCCTGGTAATCGTCCTGCATTTTATATTTGTAAAACCACTTGATTTTCTTGCAAAATAATAATTACGCTCGAAACTAGCTCGGCGATGGAAGTTGTAAATCAATACCCGTTGTTCATTATTGCATTGAAAAAGTTATTAAAGGGTCACAGCATGGCATGGTTATTGTACGACATCAACGTCATCGTTTTCACTCGCAAAGGAATTGGCCAAACAATTTCTCAATACTCCCAAGAAGGTACCCCTCCTTAATGGGAGTATTGAGACTCATTGTGGTTTTCCTGGGTAACCTTCTACTCTCATTAAAATAATAATAGGGGCACTTAGAATTAGCATTTTTTACACTAAAACTCGCGCACTTGCAGAAAGCATCGTCGTGAGTTGAAGTGTAAATGGCATTTGTAGTGCAACACTGGCTGGAGGAGGCGTTGCTACTTAGTGGTCAAGCACTGACATTGCGATAAAAACTCGAAAACATCTTTATCAACACTTGTACCTTGGGCACAATGCTGTGATTTGTGACGAAGAGCGACGTGTTGCCACAGCATCATCACACGATGACAGCGACGATGATGACAGCGACGATGATGACAGCGACGATGGTGGTAGCGTTTGGCCTGTGCCACGGTGGCGAGATGTTAACTACCTCGCCTGGTATACAGGATGTCGTGGGTTCGATTCTGACCCTGACGCCTGCTGCTGTACATTTGGAGTTTGTATGTCTTACGCCCCTGTGGTTGTGTGGTTTTTCTCCGGGTTTTCCCTCCACGTTTCGAGCTATATAGCTCAGTGGGTCTTGTAAAATAAAAATAGTTTAGCTTTTATTGTTTTCGACTAAAATCAGAACGTTGCGCAGTCCGAAAACAAATTGTTGCGCCGTCCTCCGCTGTTGGGTGTCGCTCATTGTGTGTTCTCTCTCTTCCCGTTGTGTCCGTGCAGTGGGCCCCGTCCCAGCCAGCGCCCCTCCTGTGCCGGCGATCATCAGCCACTTTTACTTCCCCCCGCTGGAAGGAGGCGGGGGTGATGGTTCCGACCCGGGCCCCGGTCCGGCTCCACACCAACACCCGTTCCTGCCTCCCGGGGGGCCCGCCGACGACTCGGCCTCCACCAAGTGCTCTGTGATCACCCGGGGGCCCCACGCCCATCCCGCGCGTGCCTACCCGCTGCTCTACCCCGGGGCCTCCCCTCTCGCCAGCCCCCAGCCTCCGTTCTCTCCCGGATTCTCGCCCGCCATCTCCCTCACCCCCAGCCACTTTAACTTCACCCCCTCGCCATCCTGGAGCCCCGCGTTCGGCGGGCCCACGCACTTCTCGTTCAACCCCGACGACATGCGGAGGTACTTGGAGGCGCAGAGCCGCTCGGTGTACAACTACCACCTGAGCCCGCGCGTGCCGCTCCCCCGCCCGCACGCGCACCTGCGTCTCCGGGACGACGACCTGCGTCTCCGGGACGACGACCTCCGTATCCACGACGACCTCCGTCTCGTGAGCCACGAGCGTCTCTACGGCGATGACCTTCGCGCGCCGCGTGGCGGCGGCGGCGGCAACGGCAGCGACGGCGGCGGCAACGGCGTCGGTGGTGGCGGCGGCAACGGCGTCGGTGGCGACGACGCCCCCAGCGTCACCCTGAAGCTGCAAGCGCCCCCTCCGGGAAGGAAGGGCCGGCAGAGCGCGGGCGAGGACGAGCCGCCGCACGCGGACAACGCGTACAGGTGCTACGGCGCGGGCCACCGGCATTCCGACGCGGACGCCTACCCGGCGAGCAACGGCCACCCCTCGGCGCTCCGCGTCAAAACGGAGACGGCGACCGAAGTGAAGACGGAGGCGGAGGACGCCGACGACGTGGACATGGACGCGGCGGACGACCGCCACGGCGCCGGCTCGTCGACGGGCGAACGGAAATCCGCGTGGAGACCGAGGCAAGCCGAAGCTTACCCGGACGGGGGCCGGCAACGCTCGGAGCCCAGCTCCCCCCGCCCGTCGCCGCCCTCCCCCTACGGCGCCCCCCCGCCCGCCGCGGCACCGCGGCCGCCGACGCCGTCCCCCGACGCGCCCCTCTCGTCGTCCCTGGACGCGCGCGACCCTCGCACGCCCCTCGGGAGCGCCACGATGCCGCTGAAGCTGCGCTTCAAGCAGCGGTGGTGGAGCGAGCAGCGGGCGGAGGCGGAGGAAGCGGGCCGGGGTGTCGCCCGGGCCGACGCGGCGTTCGACACGGGCAAGCTGCGCCTCACCCTGCCCGACTCGCCGCTCGCGCTCAAGTGAAGGGACGTCCGTCCCGTCGTGAACCCGTTGACTCCGCATCACGGCGCACAGTACAATCAGACTCAAACGTCGGGCACAGTCGGGTCTTGACACTGAAAAACATCCGCTCCGATTTCGGTAACTGTGTCAGGTGTTGGGGAATGCAGGATTTTTTCTCTCTCACGTTTAACGAGTAATGTAACACATTGACAGGGTTGTAATTGTGCCGAGGAGTGCCCTGTGGGACAACGGGGCACTTGCACTGATGGACAACACTGGCCGACCTCACTGGGACAGAAATGCATGTTGACGAACATGTTGATTGATTGAATGTTTTCGTAGCAGAACAAACATTTCACGTGCTTTCAATGCAAGCTACACTCAAGTTTGTGATTTGGCTACAGGGAAGCTCATACTTTGCAGCCAGCCTCTCTGCTCACCAGCCAGCCTTTCCACTATCCTGTCAGCCTCTCTGCTTGATAACCATCCAGCCTGTCAAGTAACCAGCCAACCAGTCCACAAAACAGAAAGCCAGTCTGCTAACCAGCCAGTGTTTCGCCAGCCAGTCAGTCTACTAACCAGCAGATCGGTCTGATAACCGGCCAGCCGGCCAACGCATCAGGCAATGACATTAGCCACGTGTTTACACGGCCAGACCCATTAGGCCAATTAAGCACCCATCCGCCTCCTACATTAACTATTCATCCAGAAACACACGTGGGTGTGCCAGAGCATGTTCACGGCATGCTCCATGCAACAAGCGTCCGGTAACACGTCTCTGTCAGTCCTCTCCTTCGACCACACAACGATGCCGGGTAAACACCCCAGCCAGTTAATTGAAGGCTGCTAAGCACGCACGTCATGCCTTAACGTTTGTTTTTTAGCACCGTAGTGTGACGATTTCTTACGTATACTAGAGGTGGGATGGTCGTCAGATTTACCAAAGTCCACTTCGTAGGCCAACCAATCAAATCATCCTCGGAAAAAAACCCCCGAAAGGATCATTTGATCCAAAAGTTATGCAATCGCTAATTCGTCACACTTTTTGAATACGTGACGAGGCCGAACGAGCCGCATTGCATTGCTCCACCCCAACCCCACCCACCCACCCCCGATGTATCGTCCCACCCCTAGCCGTGCGCTCGTCATGGTGCTGCTGCTGCTGCCCCCCATGCAGTGGGAGGGGGGACGTCTGCTTTAGCTGTAAAGCTGTTTCTACTATGTGCAATACGACGCGCGTGTGTGCCCGCCCTGCCCAGCTCCGTTAACGCTTTCATTCTGCTTTGTGTTGGATGGTTTTTGAATATTCTTTGTATTACGTGGTATAGATTGGAGTCGCTTTTGTTGTTAATTGAGTGGCGAATTTGAGTAGTTATTTTTTCTCCCGAGGGGCAGGATGTGATGAACGTTGCGCATGCTGCCGCTAATGCCTTACGTAACTCCACAGTAGGAACACTGCTCACTAAACATTTCTTTGCTTTGTATCGCCTATTGAATCTGTCGTGTAACTGGTATAACCAATGTTTTTCTGACATTTTTTTGTTTATCGGTTTATAAGTTGTATAGGTGGTGGAGCTTTTTGTTGTTGTTCGGTTTTGTGATTATGTAATCATGTGGGAGGTTTTTTTTTGGGCCAGCCTCCAAGCTCACAGAGATTGGAAAGTGCAGCAGATGGGGGAATAATGCCCCGACTGTTGTGCCCGACTCGCGTACAGTGTGTGTGTGTGAGGAAGCTCTTTATGGAACATAACTGAGGCCCTTTTGTTTGACAGTGGGGTGGAGCCCCCTGGGTGAGACCCCATTTGGAGGGCCGTGCCAACAGTCGGGGAGAGGTTTGGGGGGGGGGCGTTGGGGTTTAAAGAGTCGGGTGGACGATGGTAAACGCTTTGGGTGCAGCAGCAGTTTGAACGGCTGACTTCGTCGTATTTGGTTCCTGTAAACGCAGTGATGACTATTGACGATGATTGCGTAGCGTGTACATTATATTAAAACTCGCAAGTTTTTCAATGTACGTACACGGTGCTTGGTATGTATTTTGTTTTAAAGCATTACCTTTTTTTCCGGAAACAATGGAAACATAAATGTGCACATTTCCTAAGAGTTTACATAAAAAAAACTAGGGCACAGATTTTTATTACATCTATTTTGTAATAAAGTAAATTGTTTTTCCTTTGGATTTGTAATGAACTATAGCATGCCTGATCTTTTGGATATATTTAGGTAGAAAATCAAGTTTGACCTTGAACATCTTAATTCTTAAGACAGAGGTGCAGCCCTTGCAATGACCTGCTCACACCCACTGCTGGCAGAAGTGCCCCCACCAGAGGGAGCTCAATATACTCTGGGGACGCCTGCTCTTTCACGCTTGCCAGGCATCTTCGAAGAAGCGAGAGTACCCACACTTTACCCCACCACCGCATGCAGACCTGCCTGTCGAATCACTGCGGCATACCCATTTATACTGTTGGGTAGACAGGCGGGCGGGGAGGGGGACAGTTTAATAAATTGTCTCCGTGTCTCTATCTAAACTGCCACGCCGGGAGAGCGACAGTCCAGCGCACTCTCAACCATTATAGCGCAGCAGCAGCAGCAGCAGCGTCCACGTATAGTGTTACACATCGCATGTTGTGGCATCAGTTTGTAAATTACGGAGTGATGCCATTTGGGGCAATAATTGGTAACCCCGTTACAGCAGGGATGTTGAAAGCCGTTGAGCTGGGGGCCCACTTAGGCCAGCTTGGTAATTTGGTGGCCTTCGTCCGCGAAGGCGCGGGGTTGTTGATAGTTTACGGCGACGGTGGCAGTGGAATTTCGCCGTCTGTAGTTTGGGGAAACGTGGAACTAGCAGCTCGCAGAGTGCAGCGTACTGACGGCCAACTCGCCGCAGTGGCGAGATGTTAACTCCCTCGCCTGATATGCAGGTGGTCGTGGGTTTGATTGCGACCCTGACGCCTGTTGTATATTTTGAGTTTTCACGTCTCTCCCCATGGTCGCGTGGATTTTTTTCTCCGGGTCCTCTGGTTTTTGCCTCCACGTTGGAAAACACGCGTTTGGAATATTTGGCTGCTATAAATTTCCACGTGATGACTAGCCAATTAATTAAGCTATCAATTGTGGCCAGAGCTATATAAATCAGCAGGTTTCACCTGGTAAAATAAAGCATTGTTTTACATCCTAGATTTGAAGCTTTCGTGACTGCAAGGATCCATACTCTTTGGTTTTTTCGGTAAAGTCACGTAGGTGAAAAAAAATGGGAAACGAAAGCAAATACATTAAATTACGACGTTTCGGAGGCAACACAAGCCCCCGTCTTCAGGTGGAACAGTCAGAGCACTTGATACAGTAATTTTGCTGTGACTGTTCCACCTAAAGACGGGGGCTTGTGTTGCCTCCGAAACGTCGTGAATTAATTTATTTGTTTTCGTTTTCCATTTTTAACCTACGTGACTTTACCGAAAAAACCAAAGAGCATTGTTTTACAGTTTAGTTTAAACTCCAACTTGCCCATCCAGACTCCCCCTCCCACCCGGTGAGCTACCCCACCTGCTCTATTGCTCTCAAGATCCAAAGTGTGTTCTGTTGAACCGGGTGAGAACTTGAGAGACCAGGATTGGGGCAATTTGCAAAGAGTCACCTGGGCCGCCAAACGCGAAACAAAAACAAAGTTACAGCGATGAAGCGAATCAATCCGAGCAAAAAAAATAGTCGACTATTACGTGAGGAATCGAAGATGTTGCAAGCACTCACGAGCCACCGGTCTGTTGTGACTCACAAGGTGGCATTTGACACCCACGGCTGAAGCACCCTTAACGGGCATAATGCACAACCCTCGTGTTAATCCACTGCTGGATGAGGGTCCTGCCACACCATGCCGGTTGTGGGCGTTTCTTTGACCGTACCTCGCAATGCTGAGTACGTGAACGTTGGGTCATAGTACAGCACAACCATGTATGTTGATGCCCTGGCCGCCACGAAGCTCTTACCATCTCTATGATAATAAACGAAAATGCGTGCTCAAGTGGTCACTCATCCAAGCACTCTCCAGACTCAACGCTGCTGAGCTTTGCAAGCCCGAACAAACGAGATTGGCTGCATACCAGATTATTTGATCATACGCTGTTTCAAGGTACATGATATTGTTTTAACTCTTTTTTTGTCTCCTGATATGGTCATCGTGTGTGGTGTATGTTCAGATGTCACAAAATGAGAATTTTTTGTCATTTGACCATTAGTACAGGGCTTCAGTAACGTCTGTCGTGTCTCGTGTTCATAATGAGATCCGCGGTCTATGTTATGGCCCAAGTCAACTTTTGGCGGTGAACACACTAGTCTGTAAAGTATTGTTTTGATGAACTTAAGTTAACATTCGGCAATTTGTTGTTTAAAAAATGTATCACGGTATCTGTTTTAAGTTTTTTTTTTTATTAAAACAAAAGGTGGGAGAGATGTTGGCCACTTTCCACAGCGGTTTGTGTTGATTTCATGCAGATGAATATATGGATATATACAGCTTTGCAAAATGCCGCGTGACATTTCATGGCTTAAGATCTCACTTATTGTGGTCGTCTCCCCAATTATTTCTCAAGTGTGTACATACACGGACTAGCCGAAGATCCCCCGTATCGCCTTAACAGACTGTTGGAGCCAGTGCTGTAAGCGAGCACCGATGAAGGCCGGCACGGCACACGAGGGGGTGGGTGGCTAGCACCAGGCACGGCCGCCTTTGGCTTCTTAGTGGCGATGCTTACACACCGCACCAGGTACTCATTTGAGGCTGAGTCGACCTAGGGGAGGCACAGGACCGGTTCAGATTATCGTCACCAGTGTTGGCCGTGAGCGGGAATCAAACTCGGGTCTGCGGGTATGTAGCGCAGCGCGCTCGCCGCTCCTACACCACCGCTCCCCGCTGTGGTACGTAACACGCTCACACACACCGAGCCCTACCAACACAGTCCCGTGGTATATCGATCAGAACAAAAACACAAACACTATCACGTCATGAATCGTTAACATGGCAAACTCACGCATGGGCTACACACGTGGTATCGTGACACCCGTGGCTTGAATGTGCACAGTCCTTTGCCAATCCACTGCTAGATGAGGGCACTCCCCTCTGACAAATTCAAGGTGCTTCTGCACGAAGTTATTTTCACTCTTCCCCTTGAATTCTCACCACCACGCCCCTCCTCCAACTCCACTCTCTCCCCGTTCACGACACCGCTATCCTTACACACACCTGACGCTCATCCTTGATTCTCTCCATAGCCCTGCCTCTCAACTCCTTCCATGTCACCCTCCTCTTCGTTCTCAATCTGTCTTTCAGGCTGCCTGTGCCCAATCCCGTGATCGGTCCTTCTCCCTCCTTGCACCCCTCCACTGGAATCAACTTCCCCTTTGAATTAAACAACACTGCCCATAGACTCAACACTGCCCATAGACCCAGCACTGCTCATAGACCCAACACTGCCCATAGACCCAACACTGCCCATAGACTCAACACTGCCCATAGACTCAACACTGCCCATAGACTCAACACTGCCCATAGACTCAACACTGCTCATAGACCCAACACTGCCCATAGATTCAACACTGCCCATAGACTCAACACTGCCCATAGACTCAACACTGCCCATAGACCCAACACTGCCCATAGACTCAACACTGCCCATAGACTCAACACTGCCCATAGACCCAACACTGCCCATAGACCCAACACTGCCCATAGACCCAACACTGCCCAGACTCAACACTGCCCATAGACTCAACACTACCCATAGACACAACACTGCCCATAGACCCAACACTGCCCATAGACCCAACACTGCCCATAGACCCAACACTGCCCATAGACCCAACACTGCCCATAGACTCAACACTGCCCATAGACTCGACACTGCCCATAGACCCAACACTGCACATAGACTCAACACTGCCCATAGACTCAGACTCAACACTGTCCATAGACCCAACACTGCCCATAGACCCAACACTGCCCATAGACTAACACTGCCCATAGACCCAACACTGCCCATAGACCCAACACTGCCCATAGACTAACACTGCACCATAGACTCGACACTGCCCATAGACCCAACACTGCCCATAGACCCAACACTGCACATAGACCCAACACTGCCCATAGACCGAACACTGCCCATAGACTAACACTGCCCATAGACCCAACACTGCCCATAGACCCAACACTGCCCATAGACTAACACTGCACCATAGACTCAACTCTGCCCCTGCACATGAAGCAGCCCCCCTCCTTCAGCTCCTTCCGTCCCCTCACCTCTTCTTTATCGCCCATTCTCCTCCTCGCCCCTCCACTCCTCCCCGTCCCTCCCCTACCCTTCAGTGACCCCTCAGTGACCCCTCAGTATCCCTGTATCGCGTTGAGTCATTCCTCACCCCTTGCACGCCCCTGCCAACTAAATCATTCCATTATGTCACCGTTTTGTTTTTATCACTGTCAAGTGCCTTGAGAGTAGGCGCTCTATAAATAATGTAACATTAATAATATAAATAATAACATCAATAATATAACAGATTTGAATTAGCACGCCACAGCGCGGATTGGGAAGGACTGGGAGCTATTGGCGTTTGTGTATAATATAGTACAACGTATGGATGTTATTCACGTCCTCATGGTGTACAGTATTCACAAATACTCACACCGGCACACGTACAGCAAACAAGCAGTTCAGGTGGACACGTGGTCCGAGTGGGGCTCTCACTGCCTCCACACCACGAGGCCTCTGCGTAAGGAAAACCTCCAGCAATGCGCTCGCATTTAAACACGACCTTGGAAGCTACGCAGGAGTTAGCGCCTGAGATTGTGTCACTCGATGGTTGGCCAAGGCAGCAACTTGTGGTCTTCATGGTCAGTAATCTCATCACGAGCCGCCTCCATCTCTCCCCGCCCAGCAGCGCGCCCGGGTTCAACCACAGCGATTCCATCCCAAAGGTCGCGTGTGTGGTGGGGTAAGGGGCCGTCCATAAATGACGTCACGCACCTTGGGGGGGGGGGGTCAGACATTTGTGACGATGTGTGACGAGGGGGGGGGGGTTTGAGAAATGTGACGTCACATCAAAATGCGCAACTTTAAATAAATAGACAACACGTTCTACTTAATTAAATGTACTTTTTAATATTCTTGGTTCTTTCGGTAAAGT